CCACACCCACACTCACCCACACCCGCCCCACACCCCGCCCACACCCACACCCACACCCTCAAGTGTACCACATAGAGGTCGGAAAGAAGTTTTTGCTAAGGCTAAAAAGTAGATATTCACGATCAGCAGCTAAAAATCTACCAAATGATGTAAAAAAAAAGGCAAAAACAACATTTTTACTCGAAATTCGCTTTGCCGGCACCTTACTAATTCCAGAGATCTCGATTCAGCTTGTCGAACTCTACAGTATGGTGTGCTCAGTTAATTTGACAAAGTTTTGAAAAAAATGTTAGAAAAGTTACTACGATTTTCAATGATGTATCTATATGATGTATACACTCATAGTTTGAGCAAGGGTGAAGAAACAGTGGAAGAACGATAAAAATATTTGATTATTTCGTTTTATATTATCATAAAATCTACTGAAAGCACTAAGAGAATACTTCCATTAAATCGTCACCAGTTTTTTTCCAGATTCGTTCGAATCTATCTGTATGAAAAGCTTTCGAAAGGAAGAAGTATTCTTCAAAGAAAATAGAAAGTATCAAACAAGTACAGAAGGGTGACTACAACGTTCTCTCTTTCAACTATAAAAAAATGAAATCATTGTCTTTCTTAAATCTCTAATTTTAATACAACAAATTGAACTATTGCCATAATAAACGCGTGGGATTCATCGATGTCATTCATTAAAATCATTAAAAAGATGAGTTATTCATTTTCCTATTTTCTGTTCTTTCTTTAGAAATGACGTGAAATTTTGAGATACACATGAAAACACCTAGCTCGCTTGTGCACTTCTAAATGTTTGAGTTGGTATTACACGTTAACAAAGAGAGAAAATTTATTTTAGCTTGAGATTTATTTTAAGACGGAATCTGATTGTTCGATAGATTTAGATTATATGTAGATTAAATTTTTCAAGAGTTCACACGAATAAATAATTTTTTTTTCTAGATTCTCAACGATGAAAGTATTGGCCATATGTTTTCTTATGTGTTTAGCTTAGCACGTTTTACATTACTCTTCAAAATCCCTAATATTTTGGTACAAAAAAATGATCGACTCATCGGCTTTTGTAAATCTCAAAAGTTTGAAGCTACTTAAAGAAAACAATATATAAACTCGTACGTTTTCTACCGATCTATCATTTATGATTTGTAAGCATTCGAAGTGGAGACTGCATTTTCTCTGATTAATGGTTTTGTTACGTTTACAGAGAATGAGTTCACTCTTTTCCGTAGCACATAACAAATAGGATATTATTTTAGTGCAGATTATCAAAGATATCGTTTTATCCGAAAAAAAAGCCTAAAATGAAGTATGAACAACTGTTTTGAATACAAATGAGTAGAAAAGAGCTTACATTAACTTAATCTTTAAAAAGCAAAAAATCGAAGCAAATCGGACAAAATTGGATATTTTTGGTCATATTTTGTAGTTTTTGACTTGATCTCAAGCTTTGTTTGTCAATCGAATAGCATAGTTGCATAGAATATGGAAAGTTTCATCATTGTCACAGATTCACTTGAGTTCAACAGTGTCTACTGAATAAGTAGTGTTGACAACAGCAACTCTCACATTTATGCGAGTATTATGTAGTGCTTTTTTTGAATGTATTCTATCACCAACTCACTGTATCACACCATACATGCTCATATATAATAAGAGCGAGAGAAGGAAAGAATAAATATGATAACGACACAATTGAACTTACAGAGGTAGAGAAACGATATACGTGATGAAATGTCATGATTCAGGTTTTCGCCACGTAACACGAGCCTCATCATCCTCCTATTTCTATTTTATGAGTAAATGAGCACTTCCGACACTCCTTGTTTCTGCAAATTCGAATAAAATTCTAAAAATTTCATCTGTAAGAAACTTTAGAACGCAGTCTATCAAGAGAAGGGTGAAAAATCGGCATTAAATCCTAAAAAACAGACATACGTAAAAATAGTCTCGTGCTTCGCCACTAGATATTTGGCCTTTGCGCTAGCAATTTTTGAAAATTGAATTTAAAGAAACCACTTCGAAATAACAACGAAGCCTATAAGGGTCTAAATGCTCGAAGTCATTGCAAGGAAAACAATTACATTATATTTGTAGTCCGTATACAATTATTTCTTTCAAAAATATTGTGCATTGAAAAATAGTCTTAATATCCATTGTTTCCTATTAAGCAAATATTAAGATTTATTCTTTAAGAACTTCGGACGTCTTCTCAGCAGAATTCACGCTCAAGATCCTAGCTCCTGATATGATATAGACAAGTTTGATAGAACTGTGCCAAAAAAATCAATATTGATAAGCACCAAGCATTCAGCAGACTACATTTTGCATTTCAATCAAAAGACGGTTTTAATCAGAATGTGGGTGTTGGGTATGGGCGTGGGTAAAGAGAACACCCATACCCACCTACACCCACACATCTACACTCACACCCACCCACCCACATCCCATATCCACACTCACACTCACACCCACACCCTTCTTCAGAATAGCAACTTATTTCAACTTTAGATCAAGAGGTTTCAGTATATGCCGCTAGTCTCCAAGGAAATTCAGGGTGACTTGTTTTTTGCACAGCAAATGCATCACTGGCGCACTGTGTATCAAGGAATCTGAGTATGTCGAAAGGTATTGCAACATTATTCAAAGAAAAATTTGGTCAAGTCGATGTACTCAAAAACAAAAATGTATCAATTGGTGATTGTGCTTATCTTACTGTGGATAGTCGTTATATATTTTATTTGATAACAAAAGAGAGATACTATCATTTTCCAACGATGGCTACATTAGAATCAAGTCTTCGTGTCATGAGAAACTTGTGTATTGAAAACAATGTTCATCGTTTGCTAATGCCTCGCATTGCTTGTGGATTAGATAAACTTAACAGGGAACAAGTATCTCCACTTATTCAACGTATATTCCAAGAAGATGATATTGAAATTATGATCTATACTCTTTAATCATTGTTTGGAACAGAAATATTTCTTTCAAACCAGATTGTTTTTAATACATAAAATCTTTTAACTATATACTTCATCGATAAGAATGAAAGGATAAAACTACAAAAAAATAAAAAATTCTAATCAAATATAACTCGCAATGAGTGTCAATTCTACTCTGTTACAGTAATATTTTCTACGAAACATATAAGAACGAAAAAGAAAACTATTGATTCCAGTCATCATTTCATCTTGAGTAAATTTAGACGCAACTAAAATAGTCGACTTGATAAAAAGAAACTAAGAGTATT